GGTCGACGGTCGTTTAAGGAATAAATTTCACTCGCAGAACACTTTCATTTCACTCACTTTTACAAATTAATATATTTTACTACGAACACTTTTAAAAATATTTTATAATCTTCTAACTTATATTTTATTTACAATATTCTTTTAGGATATTTCATCGAATTTCTTCCACCTGCAAGGTTCGTAAATATTTTATTCGAAGCACTTTTATTTTATAATTTTTTAAATTTTTAGAAGCTTCGAAGAATTTTAGAAGTTTAGAAGAATTAATTTACATATTTCTTTCGACCGGAATTCGAAGCCTCACAAGTTTCGTATTCACATCGTTTCGTGTCAGCGGCAAGACGTTTCTTCGAACATGCCACTAAAACGATAATTTTACTGTATGCCAATTTCTCTGTTCTTAAGAGCACCAGGAACGTTTATCAAAAGTCGGCTTTCGCGTGTCTGCTTTGCGAACCGATTCATCGTAAGCCGCTTTCTAAACAAGAAAGATTTTACTCAAACAAGAACATTTTCAGCATATTCCGTACTTATAATGCAAATGCAAACATTTATCATATCCTGACAAAAACTTGCAGTTTTCAATTAAGCGTCAAATACATAATTCTTTTTTTTTTAGAAATGACAATAAACGTCTTAAGGATGCAGATTTACTGGAAGAGAGTTGATTATCAATAACACTGATGAGTATCTTAAATGCAAATGAAGTGCTACTATGCACGGCTTTCGTTTAGTGCCCGTTCAACAGAGTCGATCGAATCGTATCAAAGCGTATCATGCAAATCAGGTATCATCAATTGCATTGATGGTTTGTACACGAAATCGATCGGCTCGATGTAATATATTTCATCTCTAGAGGGTTGACTCTTGACGTTTGAACAGTATAATTAATAAAAGACTCACACGCGAGCAATAAGATCCATGCTTTGCAAAAATTCTGTTCTTCAAATTTTCATAAAATGATTATTAAATAAGGAAATACTTATTTGTACTAGAAAAAAAGTTGTCAGTGTTAATAAATATACCGTGATGAGAAGAACGAAGGCTCGAATGGCTGACGGCCAATAATAATGCAATTATGTAAAACTTATGGTACAACAGTTTCGCAATTTTCGCTCATTAGACGCATCATTATCTCTGTCTTCCGTTTACGGTCGGGGAGAAATTGGAGGTAAAAAAAACTGGCTGCCGTTGCAATTACCGTACTTGCGTGTTTTAAAACTGTTATCGTGCATTAGCGAGGATCCGAGGAAGAGAAACTATTATCGCTCCAAGAAGAAAAGATCGAGAGAGCTTCCAGACTACTTATTCTTTTCAGACACGGACGTAGGAAAAAAGGAGACAAGAAATCCCTGAGACATTGAGAAAATTACAATGTAGAAACGAGTGTTAATAAAAATTATAGTTGAATAATAATAAATTATAGATATTCATTTATATAGATAATTATGTAATTAGATAATTATACACATAATAGAAATAATAAATTATTGAATTTTCACTGTGAAACACATGTTCTATCAAATTATTATTAGAATATTAATCGAGGATTGATTGAACAAATCAAAATCTGTCCGTGTTCATTGAAATTACGCGAATATACTGTCGATAACGAATCGTTGTTCAAACACACCTGATCCTGATATTTCTCGTTCCCTTGCGAACCGATCTTGCGTTATTACTCGCTCAGCTATTCAAGCTAGAGAATGAACGCGATTAATACCAAAAGATATATTGTCGATTGCACGACGTGTCGAATAGTGTGACGAAGATTGACGGACGTCAATACTTGTAGAAATCATTGATTATCGTATTTCCTATCGCGCTACCGGTGATCCTTGTGCACACTGATATTTCGTGGGAGCTAGAAAACTGTGTGTACTCTCGTGCAATTGCCGATATTTGCCGACGATGTTCGTGATTGAAACAAGTAGCTACTATACGTCAAACATTGATAATACAATCAATGTATAATATAATACGTATATTTTCACAAGGATATATCTTTTTCAGGAAATATATTTTACAAAAGCACGATGTATTGAAGCTGATGGCCTTTAAGAAATTTGTTTCATCGAATAGAACAAATAGTAACTGATTAATCGTAGAATTTACGGTCTAAGGTTGTCTCTATTGGATCCGGTGATCTACTAGAGGTTCGTTTCTATAGTGATGTTCGAACATTATCAACTGATTAGCAAATGTGACAGATGGCCGTAGTTGGTTTTATTAGATTATCGCGCACTTATTTCCGACCATGCATCCTTGGACAGTGTTCAGCGAGGTTTCGAAGGTGAAAATATCAGCGAAAATCAGGCAGTGGTGAACGGGAGGATAACTTTTCGTGTAACAAACAAGGTAAGAGATATTTAGTTAATTTTTTATTTCTACTTACTGCGATACACCCGATGCGCCTTCATCATTGACGTCCCGTTCTACGGCTTGGCAAATCTGGTAGCAAACTGTAGAAATTTCAACGCAATCTTTAAGATCATTTTTAATAAGATCCATCACATTCTAATTAAGCAAATAATTTAGATAGGTAAATAGAACACTTATAATCGATTTTTGTTGATTGTACAAAAAAAAAAAAAGGAACAGAAATAAAATGTTAATTTCTTAACAAAGGTCCACTTTATTTATCAATAAGATGAAACAATTTTGACCGTATGTGAGTTTACGTGTGTATCAGATTTATATAAAATTATGTCCTTAAAAAAAAAAAAATCAATGTTAATCATTAACAGGTAAAATCATCACTGTTGGTAAAATGACACGTGTAAGAAGTTGAAACGATTTATATTTTCACATACCAAAGCGAAACACGATTATCAATGAACCACGAAATCCTCACGATGGCAATTTTAATAACACGCCACGAAACTTGGTAATCGTCCTCGCATGAGCTCCAAGAGGAAGTGTAATCGCCCTAAAAACCTCTAATCTCCTAAACTAGACGACTACATCGCCGTGGCACGCGTCTAATGCATACAAAGAGACTGGTGGGGAGAACGTTAGGTGCCCCTGTCGTTATTATGGGGTGAACTCTTGGTACGGTGCCCCATAGACGGCCGGCCGCCCTTGTGGAGGGGGCAAAATACCCTCGGGACGGTATATATGCTCTAAGAGCCCCATGCCACTTTCACAGTACCAAATTGTACCCCGCCCAGAACGGTCCTCGTTTCTTATTTCGTTTTCCCTGCTACACATCAAACGTTCGGCTATGTCGTGACAAAAATTTTTCTACGCTAACGGTGTGACACAACGACGGTGTTGCAAAATTTTCGGGGATCAGTTGAAATTTACGAAGTGATCGATCGGGGTGATAAATTCCACCGAGGATCGTTTCGTTGAGCCGACAAGTTTATCAGGTGAGATAACTCTTACAATTAGTTCAATCGATCGTTGCGTCAGTGAGCTGCGTAGACTAGAGCACAAGAATTTTGGAACGTTGCGAGTAAGAAAATAAAAATAGGAGAATAAATTAGCAAACGAGATGACAAAGAGTAAATTCGTGAAATTGATCGAGAAGATCGAATAACGAGATAGATATGACTTCGTGGAATTACACGAGAAATGTAACGATAACGTAAGAATAAATTCACGAAATTAGCGTAGACTTGTAAATGAAATTGGAAACGTACTCGAAAAATAGTGAAATTTACGTTTGTGAGGCGCTCGTTGTAACGGGAGGGAAACTTTTCAGAGAACCATCCGCAGCATGTCCTCGGAGTACTCGTTCTGCAGCGAGGGCGGCTTCGACGAGCTCTCAAGTTCCTCGGACTCCGGTTTCGACGTGAGCTTCGAATCGCCGAAGCACGAGGTACAATCAGACACCTTGTTTCCACCGGCCAAGGAAGAAAAGCGGAAGAAAACCCGAAACACGCGGTGCAAGAGTCCCACACAGGTAAGCGCTCTTCGACAATCTTCGTCCACCCCCAACTTCCCTTATCTCAAACAACGGCCACCCATTCGCAAGCTGAACAGTAAAGGGAGATCCCTGAAAAAGCCGGAAGACAATCAAAAGGAAGTTAAATGATCACAATGATCGCCATTGATTCACTCACGCAGGTGCTCAGATTGAAAAGGAGCCGTCGGATAAAGGCGAACGATCGCGAACGACACAGGATGCACACGTTGAACGACGCGCTCGAACGTCTGCGGATGGCGTTGCCGACCTTTCCGGAAGACACGAAACTCACGAAAATCGAGACCCTCCGTTTCGCCCACAACTACATCTGGGCACTGTCACAGACGTTGGGGAATTCCGAGACAGGCGAGATCACGGTGAACGTCGGCAACGTGACGGTCAGCATCAGCGAGAATGGAAACATGATCACCTCCTCGACCGGAAGTTGCGCGGTGGCCGCGCAGAAACGACTCGGCCCGTCGCACGCCGTCTTTCCCTATCCACAGGAAAGATTCGTGCCCGAATGGCAGGAGTACGACTGCTACAGCGATCAGAGTGTCAGCCCGCCGATGCAGTATCAGCAGTGTTACGATCAGAGGATGTACCACGCGCAGCATCAACTTCCTGCGCCGCATCACATGGGACACGGCAACATGTACCAGTGTCTTTAGATAATTCTTCGTGCACGGTTCCCATGGGTGATAACAGAAATGATCGCAACGATCACGGACATTGATGGTTTCATGTTCATCGTCGAAGAAGTTGTGAACATATATTACGTGAACGATGGCAATTTTGAATCAATTAAGGAGACTAAGGAGTGTAACTAAGCAGAGGAATTTTATGGACGAGTTTTGAGGGAATTTTCAGGGTTAGTATTTTCGGAGCTTCGAGATGAGTTTAGTACTTGCAGAGTAGATATAGATATTAGTAATCACGCTAGTCGCGTGAGTCATCGCCGCCATTGTGTCGTTGTAGCGAGCAACGATACCTCAGAAATTTGCTCACGTTCACAAGTGAATTATAAATTGACAACTGATGAAATTCCGACGAATGCGGATGAATAGTTAGTTAAGTAACGTGTTTCCAACTCCGTAAGATCTTTAAATACAGGTACTAAGATCTGATCGAAGCTGAAGTTTCCACTGTCGGAAATCAACAGCCGAAGACCAAAGAATTTTTATCCTCCGTGCTCTAGTGAATTTTTCTATACTTAACATCCTACGAAGTTCCGATATAATGCGTAATAGGATGCAACACGATTTACAAGCAATACGAATTCATTCTGTTAGTGATTATATTTCATAGAAACCTGCATATCGTAATGTGAAAGTCAAACGGGCGTCGTCCGAGACAAATTCGCGTCAAATAATCGAGGCGTGATTGTAAAAAAAAAAAAAAAAAAAAAATAAGAAAAAAAGAAAGAGTAGGCCAGTGCGTAAGATGATCGTTATTTACTTTGTAAGAGAGCATTCTATTCGCAACGAATTATTAGGATTAAGATTATACGCTAGACGAACCAATAATCTCGTAACTTTGGAAATCCATTCACCGTCGTTTCTTGCCCTGTGTGAAAGAAGAAATGCAAAAATCGAAACGTTCGTGTGTAGTTACAAACACGTATTAAACGTCGCGTTCCTTTTCTTTTCTAGTCATCGATGCTCTTAGGTTAATCTCGACCAATCGCTTGATCTCACCCTTTGTTTTCTAGATTACTTGTATTTAAGCGTACGTCTCCACCAGTGCTCTTATCGGATCGTGAAATTGCCGATTCAGGGAATATATATTGTACAGATCTTTATATCTTATCAATAAATCATATTTTACCTAGACATTTATCGCGTTACTCTCTTCATATTCTCAATGCGATCTGCCTAGTATAAAACTCACAGAGAGGGTGTTTAAAATTAAATTACATATTTCCAGAACTTTTAATCTCATTCAATGTTAAATGTGAAATACAAAATGAAATTAAATATTTTTAAATCTCAATAATCCAACAGCACTGTAAATATCAAGAAAGTGTCAGTCGAATAGATAAGGCAATGATGGTAGATAAACCACGTTTCCGATTGCCGATAAAGGGAGGAAACGGATCGGCAAACAGAACAGTTACGATTAAGCAGTTATCGTCTTACAAACGAGCGTGCTCGAGCCACTTTGCAGGAATGAGGTCCTGTTCAAGAATGAATGAACACGTGCCAGGACACGTGTCCTTTGTAAGAATCACTGTAGGGCAGATGTATCACAAGTTGCGCCTGAAATTACGTCTACCCGCCTAATCCGGCGGATTACGCGACGAACGTGACTTGAAAACGTTCGAGATCGGTCGGACAATCGAAAAAAATCAGGGAATTTACCCTTACCAGGTGAAACCTGTTGTTTCGATCTTTATTCACAACCTTTCCTTAAATCCAAAGTCACGCGTTGCAGTGACGCGCAGTATTTGAAATATATTTTAGAAACAGAGGCGAAGAGACAAAAGTTTCGTTGGGAAAATAGAAATCTCGCAATTTTCGTGTACGAATAAATATTATCGAGAACCTGGATGGAGTAGAAGGGTAGGAAAATATTATCTTTCCATCCTGAATTCAACAGCTCGGAGATTATTTTCATAGCCACCGCCCCCTTTGCACTCTCGTTGATCGAACGATCGAATTCGCTTATTTATTTTTCTAACACTTGGCTACTGCGTGCTGAAAATGAAACACCTACCTCTGCTCTGTTATGGAAATTCTTCTTTTGAAAGTATTATTTCTCGCTGACTGATTTCTCATCGAGTTTACTAATTTCTTACCAATTTCACGTAAGTTTCTTCACGAACACAGTTAAAAAACGTTGGACTTGAAATATACGTGTTCGTACTTACTTTCGGATCGAATGTTCATTAATTTCATAATTTATAATATTTGCAATTTTCTCTCAACCATATTTTCAATATATAATTCCGTATCAACACGAAGTGATAGAGAATCATATTTTCGATAGTCGATGAGGTTTCACGGCACCCTTTGATCAATAATTTCGTATATAAGGCCTATTTGCAAACAGGCTGCAAGCTGCGACGAATCCGTTAGCACGCTCGATCGTTTCCCCAAATCTCACCAATAATGGTAATGCTTCAATAGAACCATTTATGTCTACGACGTATAACAGTGTG